TAAATTCGTTCTAATCTCTGACATAGAAATCAGTTTCAGATTTTCTAGCAGTGACAGTGTGAAAATGAAATTTAGTTTTATCTGAATTGCCAGAGCCCAGAGCCTGGGTGTCAAGCTCTGCCTGGGAAAGGAACACATGCTGTATGTGTCCGCTGTGCTCTCCGCCTTGCAGCCTTGCAGTTTCATTTCATTTCTTCTTTTTTGACAGGGTGGAGTTGTTTTGTGTTTTTGAGGTACTGAGTAATCAAACCAAGGGTACCCAGCACACATCAGCAGGCTCTCGACCACTGAGCTGCATCTCTAGCAGAGAGCTTTTCTCTTGTGGTTTCTTTAGCCCCTGCCAGTTGCTGTGACTATTGGGAAGTATTGGGGAATCTCTTTGTTGCTGAGAGGTAACGTTGAGTTTGGCATTGTTCTGTCTCAGTAGCTTTTAGGGGAGTAATCCTTTATATTTTCTGCATGAGCGCTCGTGTGTGTGTGTGTGTGTGTGTGTGTGTGTGTGTGTGTGTGTGTGTGAAGTGTATGTTTATGCACAGTATGTGTAGAAGTGTGTGTATGTTTGTGTGAATGTGTGTGTGCAAAGTATGTTTCTACATAGTATGAGGAGGCGTGTATGTATGTAGAGTATATGTTTGTATATAGTATGTGTAGGGGTGTGTTTGTGTGTGTGTGAAGTGCATGTTTTTACACAGTATGTGTGTGTATAGAGTGTATATATGTACAAGTATGTGTAGGTTTGTGTGTGTGTGTGTAGAGTGTATGTTTGTACACAGTATGTGTAAGGTGTGTAGAATGTATGTTTGTACACAGTATTATAGGGGTGTATGTTTGCAGTGTGTCTGTGTGTATAAGTGTATGTTTTTACACAGTATGTACACAGTATATATAGGTATGTGTGGACACACAAAGAGGACAGAGGTTGAGCTCAGGTGTCTTCTACTCTTTTTTCCACTTTACTGTCTGAGAGACAAGTGCTCTCACTGAATCAGACACTCACTGATTGGCTGGACTAGCTGACAGCAGGCTCCACCCCATAACTGGGGTTACAGATATGGGTAACCATGGGTCTTGGGGAGCTACACTGAGATCCTCACACTTGCACATCAGGAAATTTGCTCAGTGAACCATCTCCTCACCCTCCAGTTTTTGTTGATTACTGTTATAGAGAACAGCTAGAAACTGTTCCTAAGCAATTGTTTACTTTTCACCATACTTAAATACCACAAAAAAAAAAAAAAAAAAAAAAAACAAGTTTCTGTGTCAGTATGTTCAAAGTAATGGCATTTTTAAGAATGAAATGCTTAGTGTTGTTATATATATATATATATATATATATATATATATAGATATATGTACATTTTCATTGAAACTACTTTATTTTGCTAAAGTCACAATATGAAAAAAATGGTAATACATTTTACTTAGAGTTCTATCTAGACACTCTTTTTGAACATGCATGCCCAGTGTTCAAGTACACATACGCAGTGCTATACATCTATGGACATAGCCTGCATCACCTGTATGTTTTCCCTGCAGTATCTTAGACCTGTAATTGCAGCTGCTCAGAAGGCTGAAGCAGGAGGGTCAAAGGCTCAGGGCCTATGTAAGCTACAGAGTTTGAGACTAGCCTTGGCAATTTAATGAGCTCCTGCCTAGCATGTGCAGGGGCCCCAGGCTTCGTCCCCAGGATGGTTAATGATAAATGACAACCTGTAGTGAGATAGTTCTGTGGCACTGACCACGCCCATTGGGGGTGGAGCCATGGGCGGAGTGACCTGTGGAAGGAGGTCGGAGGGAGAGCCCGAGATCGGGTTGAATTTCCTGGTGTTCATCTGTCTAGGTTGTAAGTTATTTCTCCCTGAATAAACATCTATTCGGCCTATTTGTTTATCCTAATCCTTTTTTAACCGCGTTAACAACCACTCCTTTAGTGTCTTTAGTATATGTGACATAGTTCCTTTGGTCATTGCTACATTGCAGTCAGTTGAGTTCCCAGTTTCCTAACACAGTTTGGGTGTCTGTTAGTATACCTTGAATATTTTGCCAGTTTTCATTTTAGAATTAAAATATCTGAGACAGCCAGTAATGCTTGAATCTTTAAATATATATTATCAGGGTGCTTTAAACATTAAAACTTTATTTTGAACTAAACATGGTGGTATATTCCTTGTAATCCCAACACTGGGGAGTCTGAGGCAGGAGGATGACAAGTTATAGGCAAGAAAGGAAGGAAGGAAGGAAGGGAGGGAGGGAGGGAGGAAGGGAGGGAGGGAGGGAGGGAGGGAAGAAGGAAGGAAGGAAGGAAGGAAGGAAGGAAGGAAGGAATCAAAGAGGAAAAAAGAAATCTAAGTAGCCCAGGATCAAATTCACTGTGTATGAGGCATGTCTTTGCATCATACATACATACACAATAATAAATAATAACTGATTTTTAAACAATCTAGGTGTTGGGAAGAGTAGTGGTCATGTGTTTGATTTCAGTCATGCAGCACTGCATAATTCCATGAGAACATTGGGTTTCCTTCTGGGTCAGTCTTAGAGATGAGAAAGCTGTTTGAGCAAAGCTGTTTCAGAAGCTTCCTGGCCATGCTTTAACACTTCAATAATATCTGGTATAGTTATGAATCTGTAGCAGTTTGATTGATTTTTTTTTTTTTTTAAAGTCGGGAACTAGATCTCCCTGCCTCTGCCTCCCGAGTGCTGGGATTAAAGGAGTGTGCCACCACACCTGGCCTATAGCAAATTCTTGAGCCAAACCTGTCTATGGTGTTAACTAGCATGTCATTTTAAATTGCTTTCTGTTGCTGTAAAAAAAAAAAAAAAAGTGGTGGCACACAGCTTTAATCCCAGCACTCCAGGGAGGCTGAGGCAATTGGATTTCTGAGTACAAGGCCATCCTGATCTACAGAGTAAGCTCCAGTACAGCCAGGGATATACAGAGAAACCCTGTCCTAAAAGAAAACGAAAAGGAGAGAGAGAAACACCAGTCAGAACCAACTTTGGGTATGAAAAAGGTCTATTTCATCATACATAATGGAAGGATGTCCAGACAATGTGTACTGCTCAAGCCAGAACCTAGAGAAAGTTGCTGGAGGTTCCCTCTTTCCAGGTTACTCTAGCTCAATGGTTCTTAACCTATAGGTCATGACACCTTTGTAGGTTGAATGACTTTTCATAGGCACCACATGTCAGGTGTCCTGCACAGCAGACATTTATATTATGACTCATAACAGCAGGAAAATTACAGTTAGGTAGTAGCAAAAACAGTAATTTTTGTGATTGCGATCAGCACAACCTGAGGAACTGTGTACAGGGTCCCAGCACTAGGAAGATTGAGAACCTGCTTTAGTTTGTGGCAAGTTGGCATGACAAGCCAACAGGCATTGAGATTGCTATTCTTCTAGTTTGTAAATCTTCATTTTCTTGCTACATGTTGTTAATATAGTTGCCTGGGATGGCCTACAGAGTGTGGTCCTGTGGGGGATGGGGAGGGGGTGGAATCAGTAGCTGTGCTCTACATAGGACACACAGAAGGAGACATCAGAGAGACCCCTGGTGGACACTACACGTTCCTACCTAGAAATGTACTCTCCATATCTCTGCCCAAGTTGTGGAGAGGATCTTTGTTTTTGTCTTACTAAGGAGGGATTTTTTTTTTTTTTTTAATTAGGTGACAAGTAAAGGTTTTGTGAATAAAAGGTAAAATGGCATCTCCATAGTGAATGGCAAGATACCATCGTGAATCTGTAGAACCGTAACTGAATGGGTGGTTGAAAGCACATTTGCATGAACAGACCTTCTGTGTGCGATTGCAACACATAACATAGTTCAAGGATTATAACTAGAACAACATCTTCTACCATTTCTACACATAAGATGAGTACCAGCTATGACTGTGAAGTCATAGGAGCATACTTTTTCCTGTGTGGATGCTTTCTGAGGGATATTTCCATATACAAAGCCACAGTTTTAAAGTCTCTGGGAACTGGAGAGGTGGCTCAGGGGTGAAGAGTACTTGCTGCTCTTCCAGAGGACCTGAGTTTGGTTCCCACATCTGGCCACTTGAGTTATGACCACTTGTAACTCCGGCTCTAGGAACTCTGGAACCCTCTTCAGGCTTCTGTGCACACTATTACATGTACAATATATACACACACAGAGAGAAGCACACAGATTCACATTTTTAAAAAGTCTTTAGGAGAAGAAAGAAAGGAAACAAACTCCTAGAAGCCTGAAATATTTTTCATGAGTGTTCTTGAACTCATTGGTAAAAAGCACATGCTTTGCATTTGCTTGAGGCTGTTTAGACTTCATTATTTAATCCAAATATCCATTCATGTCCTTCAGAAACATTAATACTTGTGGTTGTGGGGTGCTGCCCACACCTTCCCAGTACTGCACTATGAAGGTCACCTGAATTTAATGATGTTTAGGTGGTTTATTCCATCTGAAGAGAAATCAGAATATACTTAGGTGGTTTATATGTCCTCAGAATAGCATCTTTTTGTGTTTGTTCTGAGGGCATGAGTTAGAAATTATGCTTAGGTTTTATTAGTTTAAGGAAAGTCAATCATTTTCATCATGAGATTTGTCCTGAGTCTAAAAAAAAATTCCCTACACTTCCAGCTTTACTGAAGTGATAAAGATAAATGCTGAATGGTGTGACTGTGGCATAAATTTAGATTTCAGAGGCTAATGTGGTTTTCAATAGAAGAAAATGTGTTGCTTGTTTGTGAAGTAAGCGTGCTTGTTTCTATTGGAAACCTTGAAGTAACTAATCTTAGCTTTGAAATATTGAGTAATAACAATAATACCTCTGCCTCCTTAGTTGTAGTCCCAGCCCGGTTCACTGCTAATCTCTGTGTTAAATGACAGAATCCCAGGCCTCCTCCCTCTCAGTTACTTTACCCCTTGGGAAATCTTATTTTTAATAGCACCTTCTTTTCTTGGCTTGCATGACATTTTTTTCTTTCTTTTCCTTTCTTTTGCCGTTTGCAAAGACTCTTGGGAGGATTTGACAGATTTGGTGGAGCAAGTGCGTGATGATACAGAAGGTGCGTGCCACACCAGCATCCCTCAGCTTTTTCTTTTATTTCCTTTCTTTCTTTCTTTTTTTAATTTTCTAACCACCTCTTAATTGTCTTCCATAAGGAGTGTCAGAGTTGGGTTTTATGTACCATGGCAATGACCGAGACGTCCCTGTCTTTGCTTGCAAGTAGTACAGCGTTCTGTATTTACAGTGCTCCATAGGATATTTGTCAAAACATGTAAAAGGGACATTATTTAAAATAAATAAATAAGAGGGATAATTTTACAAGATGACATTAAACTTTTCTTTGACTTATTTTTAAATTTGAGTTTATATTTGTGAATTTCACAGCTGTCAAAATTAACAGCAATTCTGAAAAGTATTAAAAGTCCAGCCCACTTTTCAGAATATTGAATTTCTGGTATCTTTGTTTCAGTGATCTGCATCAGGATGATACAAATACATCATTGCCTCTTGAATCTCTTTAGTTTTTTCCTAGTGTCAGCTTTATTGAGATGTAATTCTCACACCAGGTAGAGACCACCATTTTAAGTATACAAAGTGATTGTTTGTGCATTCACTATGTTGTGTGCTTCCAACACCACCATCCATCCAGGTCCATAATGTTTGTTTCATCTTTCTAAATAGGAACCCATGCACCCTTTATCAGCCATTCCCTGTTTCATCTGCCTCCCCTGTCCATGCCAATCCCCAGTCTTCTTTGCATCTTTGTAGATTGCCTGTTCTGGACATTCCATGTACGCACTGTCATGAAACACGTCTGTTCATGGCTTCTCTCACTTTGCATGTTTTCAAGGTTCATCAATGTCATGGCCAGAGAACATTCTCTTATATGGGTACATATTTTGTCTCACCATTATGTTGGTAGATATTTGACATGTTTGGGGCTAACTGTAAGAAATGTTTGCGTGAAAACACACAAGGGGTTCATAAATGTTTCATACTGAGAAAATATCGAAGTAGAATTCTAGATAAAATGGTAATTCAACAATTTTTAATTTATTTTTTTACTTATGTGTATGGGTGTTTTACCTAGATAAATGTCCAGAAGAGGGAGGGCATTGTGAGATAGTTAGTTGTGAGCCACCATATGAGTGCTAGGACTCTAACCCAGGTCCTCCAGAAGAGCAGTCAGGGCTCTTAACCAATGAGCCATGTCTCCAGCCCAGACCCTAACCCTTTTGAGAAATGTCAGACAGTTTAAAGTACCTGCACCATTTTATTTGCTGCCAGCAGCACACAAGGTTGTAGTTTCTTTAGACCCTTAATTAGTACTGGCTAGTCTCATTTTTTTTCTTTTTTTAAACGTATTATTAGTTTATGTGTATGATATGTATATATATATGGTGCATGCGTATGAGTGTGTGTGTATGTGCGTGCGTGCGTGTGTGTGTGTGTGTGTGTGTGTGTGTGTGTGTGTGTGTGAGCGTGTGCGCGCGCACACACACACATTGCTCAAGGAAGCCAGAAGAGGTCATCAGAGCCCCTGCAACTGGAGTTACAGATGGTTGTAAGCTGTTGCTATATGGGTACTAATATCTAAACTGCCTCTCCAACCTTCTTTCTTCCATCTTCTTTGTTTTATTTGTTTGTTTGTTAAAGATGTATTTATTATGTATACAGTGTTCTGCATGCATGTACACCTGCACACCAGAAAAAGAGCATCAGATCTCCTTACAGATGGTTGTGAGCCACCATGTGGTTGCTGAGAATTGAACTCAGGACCTCTGGAAAAGCAGGAAGTGCTCTTAACCTCTAATCTCCCCAACCCTTTGTGTTCTATTTTTAAGACAGGGTTTTACTGTATATTTTGGTTGGCCTGGAGCTAAATAAACCAGGCTGGCATTGAATTTCAAAAGATCTGACTGGCTGTCTCCTGAGTGCTGGAATAAAGGTGTGCATCTTTTACTTTCTTGATTGTGTTCTTTGAAGTACAAATGGTTTTTTTTTAATTATGTTGAAATATAACTCTTCTCACATATCTAAGAAAACATTGCTATCCCAAGTTTACAAAAATTTGGATCTGTTTCCTATGATGAGTTTTATAGTTATAGCTCTTGAATTTTGGTCTCTGGTCCTTTGTAGTTAAATTTTTAAGGGTGTGTATGTGTGTGTGTGTGTATCTCTCTCTCTCTCTCTCTCTCTCTCTCTCTCTGTGTGTGTGTGTGTGTGTGTGTGTGTGAGACTGACTGTATCTATTTATGTGTGTCTGTGTGTATGTGGTGTGTACACACGTGAGTGCACATGCCAGCAGAGCCCAGAGGTATCATATTCCCTGGAGCTAGAGTCGCAGGTGGCTATGGGGTGTTTCTGTTCTGGGAATCAAACTTGGGTCCTCTGCAAGAGTGCTGTGCACTCTTAACCACTGAGACATTTCTCCTGCTCATTTCTTTTTCAGGATTATTTTGATTCCTCTGGATCCTTTGCATTCCTATAGGTAGTATTTTAAGATAAACTTGCCAATTTCTGTAAATGACACAGCTAGGATTTTGGTTGGGATTGCTTTGAATCTGTATTAAGTGGAGGAATATTGCCATCTTAGCATAGTTAAGTCTTGAAATTCATTGACATTGCATTTCTGTTTATTTTGATGCTTTACATTTTCATTTCCACATTTTGTTTTCAGTGCACAAAATTTTCACATCTCTTGTCAAATTTTTGTAAGTATTTTCTTTTTGGTACTATATAAGTGGCTTCACCAAACATTCAGTTTGCTGTTAAGCAGGATGAGAGATTAACATTAGCTAATAAGAGATAACAATATAGTTTAGTAAGGTTGATTGGACATGACCTCAGATGCAGCATATCTTTTCCTTTCTTATAAAGCTGAGAATGTTCATTTTTCTCACAGAACGAAAACACAGTACAACAAAATGTCTCTTTGGCATATATAATTTCCAGCGTCATTACTCTTAAATTTTCAGACCATTATTAAATAATGGCCATTAGTAAATAATAGACACACTGTGATGCTATAAAAGGCAGTTTCTGAGTGACTGACAGGCATATAGGTTATATGAGAGCTGCCCTGACAAAGGGGTGATTCATTTTCCATTGTGGGAAAGAAAGGAATACATTTCCATTACACTGCATAGAAAAGCATGCAATTTAAAACTTATTAGTTATTTATTTCTGCAACTTTCCATTTAATTTTTTCAGATCACTGTGACTTGCAGAAAGCAATACATCAGAGAAGAGACTGCTGTACAATTAAGTCTTGTATTGAGCTTGTGTCCTGCAGCCTTGCCAAGTGCACTTATGAGCTAATACTTTGTTTGTGTGTGTGTTTTTTAAATCTGTAATATCATATTCTCTGAAAATATGATTTTACTGTTTCCTTCTAATCTAGATGTCTTTTGTTTCTGTTCTTCCTAATTTGACTAAACTCTCTTCCACGGTGCTTAGAAATGGTGAGAGTGATCGTGTCTGTCCTGTTGCTGACCTCTAGTTACATCTTCTACCCGTAGATATTGTATTAGACAGTTTTCCTAATTACATTCTACCAGGTTAAAGAAACTCCCTTCCTAGCTGGCCAGTGGTGGCACAATGGGGAGGCAGAAGAGGCAGGTGGATCTCTGTGAGTCTACAAAACAAGTTCCCAGACAGCCAGAGCTGTTACACAGAGAAACTCTGTATTGAAAAACCAAAAATAAAAGGAAGAAGAAGAAATTCCTTTCTTTTCTCAGTTTGTTACATATAAATGTTTTGTTTTATTTTTGATATGTCAGCCATTTTGTCTGCATTGATTGAAATCACAGTATCTACTCCCTTGGTATATTGCATTGCTTGACTTACGTATGTGGAACAGACTTTGCATTCTGGCATCAGTCCTACTTGATTATGTTAATGATCTGTGTGTGTTGCCAGTTTTGTTGAGGCCTTTTGAATCTGCATTTGTAAGGAATATTACAGTGCAGGTCCCTCTTTTTCTGTCCCAAGGAAATATTGGTATGGTAGAAAAAGTTGGGATTTCTATCTTCTGTTTGGAATAGTTTGCAAAAGATTGATACTAATTCTAAATGGTTGATTAACTTTAACAGTGAGGTCATTTGTTTCTGGTCGTCTCTCTGTGGGATTTAGTTTTTCTTTATTACTAATTCAGTATCTTTGCTTGTTATATCTTGTGTTTTCTGTTTCTTATTAGTTTTATTTGGTTTGTATTTTTCTAGGAAATCACCTACATACGTTTTTCTTTTACAGTTTTGCTTGTTGATAGGCAGTAGTGGTGCACACCTCTAATCCCAGCACTTGGGAGGAAGAAGCAGGTGGATCTCTGTGAGTTAAAGGCCAGCCTGATCTACAGAGCAAGTTCTAGAACAGCCAAGGACACAGAGAAACCCTTTCTCAAAAACCAATTCAAAAATTCTTTTCACTTGTTTCTGTAAGGACAGTGAGCCCAGTGTCTCATCTTTCCTTTCTTTGGTTCAGTCCTTCTACTCTTGCTTGTGTTGGTCCACAGATAAATGTTCCCTAATGCTTTCTTCTTACTGTTGTTGTAGGGTAAGAAGGCATTATTTGGAATTGCAGTATAAGAAGGGATAAACTCATCAGGACAGGGAAGCTGTGGTTGCTAGTATGAGGCGGTTGTCATACTGCATCTGGAGTAATGATGCCTATTGTTTTTGAGTCAGGGCATTGTCAGGTAGGCCAGGCTGAGTTCAGGTCATGGTCCTCTTGCTTTATCTCCTGGGTACTGGGATTATAGACATGGGTCAGTATTCCTAACTTTAGTATTGTTTAATATTGTTGATTCACCTTGGAGTTTCATTGATTTTTTTTTTTTTCCTTAAGTTTGGTGTTTTGTTAATGTGTTTTTCCCCCACTATTTAGTTTTTCTTCATTTAATTTCATTCATTCTGCTTTTGGTGATATATATATATATATATATATATACACACACACACACACACACACACACACACACACACACTATATGATTATGTTATTTTCCATTGTGGAGTCATGTAGTTTTGACATACTAGAGACAAGAGTCTTGTGAGTCAG